TTTCTGTGTTACTTGCTACACTTTTGATATTAAGATACAATTTAATTCTAGACAAATAACATGTTTAATATTGTGGGTGTGTTTTGGTCTTACTTGCGAATAATACTTAATTCTGGAGAAATGTTTGAAATTCTAGGTGTGTTTTATACCTTTCTATAAATAAGAAATTTGATCATCAGTTTCTTGAAACGCTGTATGTTTAATTGCCATCATGTTAATAGAGCCTCTGTGACAAAATTTGATTCAATATGCACAATACGGGGGTGTTTATGATTCTTTTTCACGTGATAGATCTTGAATTTCAGTTCCTTATACAAATTGTCGCATAATGGCCATACTACTAGATTAATAAGAAGAAATAATACTTTCAATACAGTAGCCTATAGAGGTGTGCTTACTGTAAAAACCCAATGTTTAGTTCCTTGTATTTAGAAGTACTATGACCTACCTTAAATATAGCTGTAGGATTGGGGTATCATTGATTGTTATGTTAATTGTGCACACTTATGTTATGTTAAACAGTCATTTATAGAAATCTACTCACTATACACAGGTAGAAATAAGGTGCACCTGTAAGATTGACATGTTTTAGCAAATGATTATTTATATTAGTACACTTTGGGAATTTTGTCTGCTTTAGTTCAGGTAAGAAATGATCAAAGTTTACTCAATATCCATAGATGAGTTGGGGGCTAAGTGAGTAAGATGCTGGCCTGCTACTCTGGAGAGGTCATCAGGATTTTCCGACATTGGTTTCCCCTTGTCAGTGGTGCAGGACAGAGGGCCTGACAAGGACTGCAGATGTCTAGTCATTCAGATGGCATGATAAACCAAAATCCTGTGTATACATTGGCGTGCACGAAAAGATCCATTGGCAGTTGGAATTCGATATAAGAGTAGGCCGTAGCGCCGCTGTCCGTGCAAAATTTATCTCATAGCACACTGTATGGCATATACACATCTTCGTTAGCCCAGTTCGGAGCAGAACAGTAGGATGTTAAACCCCATTTCATTTTTTTTCACTATGTATAAGATAAAAGGTTTTTAAACTCAGTACATATAGTTTGAATATGATCCACTGGATACTTCAGTGACCATAATGCCTTACAAGTACTAACTACAAAGTACAAAGTACAACAACCTGTTTATTTACATATAAGTCAATCGGCTTCTTCCCTCACAGCTTGAATCTAACTAGACCTCCTTCTTCTGTCACAACATGTTCTGAAATCTTTTTTTAAAAGATATTACAATTATAGTACCAGTATTAGTAATTTACAGAACTAATCACATACAGTCTCTGCATGAAGTTAAAATGTGCTATATTATGGCCATCTACAAGCTTATTGAATGTTTAAAACCTCCACACTTCTCTAATACGATTGAAAACTCTAATTCTTATATTAGCTGACAAACAAAATATCGGTTGTTTACAGTAAGTGATAAATTATGGGCATTATACAAGAATTGGACCAAACATTGTTAGAATATCTAAATTAATATACGTGTTAAAAACAAAAACAAAATCAGTACAGTTAATAGTAAGTGCAGGGGGACTGCACCACACACAAACAATTACACAAGACAAATCGATGGACAAGACACAATATACAGACAGCACAAACAACAAATGTACTTATTTATATTCATGTGTTATTTGGCATGCATAGAATCGTTGCCACTTCAAGAAAAATTTGTTGGGTCATGGACCTTATAGTACAGGTCCATGGTTGGGTCAATAACCTAAATTAAAAAACAGTGTAATGACTGATACAATAGTTTTGTAATCCATCAAATAAACGCTTGCATACATGATGAATTCTAACTTCTGTACACATATAATCAGTCTGCTATAGTTAATGGGTGGTTATTACTTCCCAAATGTATTAATGGCGACTAAAAAAAATGACATTTTCCATCATAAGACGTGTCATTCCATGAATTCTTAACTTTGGTAATTTGCATGCAAATATGATTCATATCCACATCATCACTTCATCAGTTTTCTCAACGCATAGATTATTGTGGTCTTTTTTTATAAAATGAATAATGGGTTTAAGAAATATTATCAATTTTCCTTGAGGAATTTATTAGTCATTTTCATAATTGTGTTACAAATAAAAAAAAAGTAAAATTCAATATATGAAAAAAAATTTGTTAGTAATTTTAGGAATACACAGAAGGAGACTTTCGTTATTGTTTCTTCTTGAGTAAATAGAAGTAGAAATTCGTTAATTCTTCTTCTTCTTCTTCAGAGTTTTACTTCTTCTGCCTAATTGCGATATGGCCAAACAGGGCAATGCAGTCTTTGAATAGTTATTACTTCTTTTCTTCGTTGGTTTTGTACTTCCATTTCTGAAATTGCAATATCACCAACTTTTTTCCTAGCATACGTCCACTTAAATATAACATCTTCTTTTTCTTCATTGGTATTTTAATTCCATTTCTAAAATTGCTATATCACCAACTTTTTTCCCAGTACACGTCCCCATAAATATATACATCAAAATCTGATAAATACCACATATTTTATATTTGTAAAACTATGTAAAGAATCTACGACAGAATCCTATTTCATTATTAAATTATTTTTAATGACGTATGTCAAAGTTTTATAATAATGGACCCTTTACATTCACACAATAGTACTTATTATGAGGTAATGATCTACTCTATCTTGTCCATCTGTGTGCATTGAAGACCCCCTTAATCTCTTATTTCATACCGCAAATATTTCACCCCCTTTATTGTATACCATATCAGACATACAATTGTCCTCATTCATGCCAGATTATATCGTCAAACAAAAGCCACATTATGTTATTCTATATCCTCACGTTTTGAATTTCAACTGAATTGACAAAAAAATCTCTTAATGCACATGTTTCGGTTGTAAGTTTTTTCTCATAGAAATAAGTATTTAACATGAAACTTTGAAATAATTTATCATGTATGAATTGACAGTAATTGACAGAGAATATAATGTTACAGCTGTCTTATCTGTGCATTAGTCAATGTTTCACTAGGTTTTTTTACCTCTTCTTAATGAACGAAGGAATGTATTTTTTAAAGTACTGAGCAGATCAAGGGTCTGTGGGATGTTGTGCATTTGGGAGGTGTGCACAATCTGAGAGTATAGACCTTGAAATCTTGAAATATTCTTTTAAGTTACGCTACTGATAAAATTGTATGCTTCGCTAAATAAACGAAGGAATTTATTTTAAAGTACATTGTGGGTTGGGGGGGGGGGGGGGGAGGTGTGCATGCATAGTTAAGGCATTAAAGCGTTAAACCCCATTTCCCATCTCTCTCTCTCTCTCTCTCTCTCTCTCTCTTTCTCTTCAGCTTACCTCATATCACACAGCATGGCATATCTGTGTCTGCATTAATCCATTTGGTGCAAAAAAAGTACAATGTTAAACCATATTTTATTAACCAAACATTCCCCCTCCCCTCCCCCTTTCATAAATTCTTGTATCCACACTAGATCATGTGATATATAATTATGAAGTATGGTGTAATGACCTTGACGAATGTAGCAGACATATAATTTGATATTATGTAGAATATAAAGAGAGATTAATATTGAACTATTGACAGATTAATGACATGAACAGATTGAATGTACACGCTATCTGTGTTCAACTATTCAATTATTAATACCGAGTCCACTTACATATGTTATGTTATAACAGTCGGTAATTGGCTGTGACTTTGATAGATGTTGTCTTTTATACATTGATTTACTAGTGGTCACATGTTCTCCTGCTCACTTCCATGCTTATCATGTATGGTTGGAATTTTTAATCTTACTTGATAGATATGATATAAGTGTAAAGACTGCATAGATGGGTGGTTGGAATTTTTAATCTTCTTTCCTATAGATAGATAGATAGATGTTTATTGCATCAAAACGTCCATGATGACAGGAATTTTTGGTTTGAATAGACATAAGGATTGCATTTATAGGTAGATAACTGGAATTATTATTCTTCTTTCATTAATGTAAAGATAGACATCATATATGATGACTGGACTTTTTATAAAGACGCCATATATTGGTAGAAAGTTGGAATTTTTAATCTTCTTTCACAACATATATATGACACCAATTTTTGATACCAGTAGTTGTATATAAACTGTGTGAAAGAGCTGATAATTTTTCATTGATGTATAAACACTACATAGATGTCTAAAAAAATTTAATATTTTTTCATGAATTTGTAAAATTTAGATAATAGATAGATGTTTGAAATGTTTAATTCACTTAATAATTTACATGTACGACAGCATATCTATAGGGTTAACTTTGCTCTGATTCTTATATTTTGTGTATGCCTGGGCTCAGATTCTTAATATATTATGTGTATGCCTGGCATTTAGAGTTACAAGGAACTTTTTGCTGTTTCCTAAAATCATATTTCTGTTAACATCATGGATGGCTGGAATTTATGATATTCTTACATCTGTAGAAAGATATTTGCCGTGTTTTCTAAAATTAGATTTCTTCAAACAGATTCATAACAGAGACAAAACACATATAACTATTAACCATGTGAACTAATCTGAAAAGTGGTATCGAGTGTTCTAGAAATCAGATTTACAATTTAAGACGGAAATTGTTAATCCGCTTTCCATTACATACATGTATTCATCTTATTTTTCAAGAACACCTCATGCCACTTCTCACTTAGGGAGTTCAAATGACAATTAAAAAAAAATTGTTGTACCAGTCTTTAGCCAACATTATAAATATCATCTTTCAAGAACATCTGGTACCACATTCAAATAACTAACAAATTTTTGTTATAGGTTACATTTGTATATATTGCCTCCCGAGAGAGATATTAGTTCTGTTTTTCTACAATCAGAAATCTGCTTTCAATTGCGCTTGAGTTGTGTTAAACTACAGGTATACCATTGTTATTACTACTACAGGATACAAACCTCATAAACTCATCTCCATGTTTTAAACAGGGCCTTTCTTTTTATATTTACAGATGTGGATCTGGTTAGAAATATGAAGATGGACGTAACAGGTGTGGATTTATGTCCAGCCTGCCGTCTGCCATTCGATGCTGGCAAGAAACGGAAACTCATTGATGCCTGCGGACATGAAAGATGTTACATGTGTATGTTTAACAGTGAAATTTGTCCACTGTGCAGTAAGTATACATTTTAATTGATTTGTTCATAGTGTATTATATAGAGTAGCTTTTACTGCTTCAAACTGATAACTTTTTTTCTTTTCTTTTTTTTTTTTAAATTGGCTTTAACATCCATTTGACACAAACTAGGTCATTTCGGGACTAACATATGGTTCAATTTTATTTCAATAACTTGCTTGCACATAAGGGTCTTTAGCAGTGGGGGAGGAAACTGGAAAACCGGGAGAAAACCCACGAGATTGGACAGGCAACCCTTGCAATGTACACGCAGGGAATCAAAACCATGCCAGTTGACTCAATGACAGACCTTATGATGTAACACGCATGCGTTAACCGTTCAGCAACCCTACCCCCCTTCAGACGTATAACAGTTTTGCTCTAGTAATAATAATAGGATAAAACACGATGTAAGACTACTCCTTATATATATAATTTACAAGTGTTTAAATATACATGAAATTCTGTCTGCATGATTGTTATGTAATACTTTTAAGAGACAATCATCAGAAATCCAGTAAGATTGATTTCAGCAACAAGTTTGCAAATGGTTGTTTCAATTCCAGTCTTGTACTTGGGAGGTACTAATTGTGGGCGGGTTGGGGAGGTTCAGGTATTTCTGGAATCCAAAATGGCCGCTTTATATAAATGAGTATTTTGGGGATAACTAACCCGAACCCATACCCTAACCCTTTTAAGAGGGGTAATAGGTAAATTGGATCTAAGTTCAGTCTTCTAAAATGGATTAGGGTTAGGATTAGTATTCCCTAAAATTTTCATTTGTATAAAGCGGCCATTTTGGACTCCGGAAACACCCGAACCTCCCCAACCGGCTTGCAATTAGCACCTCCCATCCTTGGACTTGCCCAACCTTGTGGAATTTCCTCAGTTTTTTTCCCCATTGCTAAAGAACCCTGTGAATTGTGAAAATAAAAATTTGTCGGATTGTCCTGCAATAACTGATGCTCTCTCATTCTTGGCAGGAGGCATACATTTTACAAATTACTTTATAATTATGTTTTTTTTAAAAATTTCATTAATCTTTCATTTTATTATTTCTGAATAACTATCAATGAAAATAAAGGAAGCATCTCAGCACTTGAATATTAGAGAATTAATTATATCTTACATACTGTATGATTATCTCATGCTTGATCATGGCCCACATGTTGTTTTTCAATATTATATATAGACAGTCAATGTTTCATATTATATACCAGTATGTATATCATGCATGATATCAAGCTGGCACCTTTTAATTAAAATTCAGCGATGTTTTTAGTTCCTTTGTGTTCTGTAACAACTGTTGAATAATTATATTGCTGAAAAGTTGAGAGCAAATATGTTTCTTGTAGGATATTCTGCTTAGATTCTGTGAATTTGAATTTTTATTCACCAGGAGTACCTATTAAAAATTTGTTTCCTATTTCTTTGGAAAATAAAATAATTAAAAGGCAAAGAAAAACCATAGTTGCTCTTCTCAAAATTTTGAAATTTTAGACAAGACGTTAACAAGACTTGAAGATATTTGTCAATCAAAATTCCAAAGAACTAAAAATTAAATTACTTTGGCCTGACTAGGAGGTCCTGACAGAAGACATTTGAAAAAACAACAACAAAAAAAAACACATCCCAAAAGCATCAGTCTATCAGTGATGTCTTGACAAAGTCCATTTATATGTCTTATGTCAAATTTGCCTAGATATAATAATGTAGTTCTATTGGGTATAGGTTTAGACAGCAATGTGGGCGATTTACTTAAGTATGATAAGCGAATGTGGTTGTCGTTCTGTGTTTTTGATTAAAGATTTTCCTTGTGGGACATTTTTTAGTTGCGGTTTTAACAGAGGCCAGACGTAGGTCACTAAACGTCGCTGTATCCTTCAGTAAATAGTGTCAATAAGCATCCATTCTCTTTAATAGACTTAAAATACAAACCTCTTATGTTATTGAGCATAAAATTCATGATTGCCCCAAAAGAACTAAAGAAAATAATTTTTTCGGATATCAGCTTGGGGCTTCAAGTTCATGTAAATAATAACCTTTCTGAAAACTTTGTAAAATTTTATTTTTAAAGTTGGTAGGTTGGATGGCCGAATGGTTAGCACATGCGCGCTGTATCAGAATGTCTGTCATTAAGTCAACTGGCATGTTTTTCGATTCCCAGGTTGTACGTGACAAGGAGTAGGGTCGCCTATCCAACCTCATGGGTTTTCTCTGGGTACTCCGGTTTCCTCCCACTACTAAAGACCCCTACGTGCAAGCAAATTTTGAAATAAAATTGAAACATGTGTTAGTCCCAAAATGACCTAGTTTGTGTTGAGTGGACTTTAAACCCCTCTCTCTCTCTCTCTCTCTTTTTTGCATCTTTCACGTACTTGATTTGCAAAATGAAATTCCAAACAATCTTTTTAAGTTATTATCAGTTTTCAGTCGTTCTTTCTATGAATCAGAGAATCAATCCCTGCCCATGCATACAATACTTGATTCAGTGTTGTATCAAGATGATCAGCAGACGCGAACGAATAAAGGAAATATTGTATATATTATTCAGATTACCCACAAGCTCAGTATAATGGAGGAATACAAGATCCTTCAATCTTCACACCACACAGACCCAAATTAAAAACCAACGGACATTTTACTACATTCATGCAGTCTCGACAGGATGTTCATCTGCCACAAGAAATGATGAATCAGACAGGCGGAAAGAACGAACCGTATTCAAATTCTGTTAATCCACCTCCAGTCCACGGTAAGTCTGTCACGATTTAGACACAAATGTCATTATTTTTATTGTGTATCCACTGTGTTGCCACATTGTTCAGCCCCATTCATCTGTCCATATCTCATATTGCAAGAGTTGATTTAATAATAAGGCCACGTCAGTTTGATCTTCTGTTTTTTTCAGGAATGCCTATTAATTTTTTGCTTCATATTTCTTGATGGAAAAAAATAATTAAAAAACAAAAAGGACTTTTTTTGCTCCTTCCCTAGGCTTTTAGTTCCACATTTTTAGATTTTAAAATTTAAAACAAAAATTTTTTGATATTTATTTAACAAGACATTGAAGAACTACAAATTAATTTTGTTGGGCCTAATATTTCTTGAGGAGGAAAAAAATGTGTTTTGAAAACAAAATGTAAATGTTTGATCTTATCAGAGGCTTTTAGTTCAACATTTTTAATTTTTGAGATTTAAAACAAAAAGAAATAGTTTCCGTGACTCAAGGCTCTTAAGAACTAAAAACTATTTTTGTTTGGCCTAATGGTGTAGCTGTTGAAACTAACTAGACAGTTTACATGAAACGGGAGGCCAACTTGACATAAAATATTGGACTGACTTGACACAATCCAGTATTTTATTGAAGACCTATAACTCAACAAGTAGGCTCTACCTCTCTTGGAATATACATGTATTGCCTTATTCCCTGTCATCTATAGATCACCATGTTTTTATTAAGAGACAATTTAGTCTAGTTCTTTGGATCCTTTGGGATTTGTTGAAGAAAGAATTGATACAATCAAGGTATTTGTTTCATTAAAATGCCCATCATTGTAAGATTACTCTTGTCCAATGCCGATCTTGTGTAGAGTAGTTGATCAGATTGAGTGAAGGAAGAGACTTGTTGAAATGAATACAAATGAACTTGATCTAAAAAAAATGAGGTGTGAGGTGTCTGTTTTATTGTAAGATTAGGGGGTTGGGGGGTTGGATTACTGAATGGTTAGCATGTGCGTGCTGCATCATAAGGTCTGTCATTGAGTCATCTGGCATGATTTTTATTTCCCGGTTGTCCAACCTTGTGGGTTTTCTCTGGGTCCTACGGTTTCCTCCCACTGCTAAAGACCCCTACGAGCAAGCAAATTATTGAAATAAAATTGAACCATAAAATTGTGTTGAGTGGATGTTAAACCTCCCTCCCTTTCTCTCTCTCTCTCTCTCTCTCTCTATTGTAAGATTAAGCTTGCCCAGTACAAAACTTGACTAGAAATAGATCTTCTAATTTGGTAATACTGGTTTTCTTCAATCCGTTCATTGCTTGGTGCACACATGCAGTAATCAATTCATTAATTTTATAGATTTTATCTAGTTTTCTCGTTAATTATTATTATGTATACTGTAAAGGTGACATTTAAATGAATCTGTTAAATGATTGCGAACATGCTATAGTATAATATGCATCCATGTAACACAGTATTTTAAAATGCCATGAGACAAAATGATGTCGGCATTTTCTTTATAATAGATGTTGGTTGTGCTTCAATTATAACAGCTTAAATTGTATGAACATTCAGGTTAGGGACTGTAGTGAATCAGTCTAACTTTTTGTTCTTAATTTATGTAAAGTCGGGTTGAAATCAAGTGACGAAGCAAGCTAAATGGCATATCATATACAGTTATAGTTGAAAGTAAAAATGTTTAACAAGTTATCCACTTTAGTTGAATAGTTTTCAACTAAACAGTTTGAATTGATCTGATTTTTTTTTATATTTTCGATGACCTACACTACATGAAGATCTGACCGGTTGTAGGGTTCACTCCCATTTCAACTAAGTCCCATTTCGACTACACCCCATTTTGACTACAAATTTTATTACCCACAAAATCCTGACTCCCATCTAATCAGCATTGAACTGTTCCATCGATTAAGAGATTTAATTAAGGTAATGGTTATTGTTAAAATAGCTTATATTTTAATTAATCATCTGGACTTCGTGAAATAGTGTGTTTTATTGAAGAATCTCTTTTGGCTATATAGTCTGTTGTTATAAGCTGTAGTCGAAATGGGATGTAGGCAAAATGGGAGGCTACCGGTTGTAGTGGAAGGTTGCATCAGGGATCATACAAGCGGCTTTTGAACCTATGACATCAGACATTGATTAATTAATTGGCATTGATGTTTCTAGTGGTTTACCCACAGTTTCGGTATTGCACGCCAAGAACTCGCCGTAACAGACCATTTCATTGGCTAATCCCTCACTTCAACCAGAACGCGGGTTAAATAACAACTCTTTCAGATCCTGGTCTTGTGAAGACAGCTAAAACGAAATTTTGAACTAAAAAAACAAAACGAAATAGGATCTGTGTTTTAATCAGATTGATAGTTTTCAACTAAACAGTTTGAATTTGATTATTTTTCCCCCCGCCTTTCACAGTTTTGTCAGTCCGTCTGGATAGATTGTGATATAAACATGTAGAGTTATTGATCAACGTCTATAAAAAGCTGTAAGATCAGACAAAATTTTTTATCTCATCGTTGTGTTGTCCAGTTGAACTCCCACATGTTACTTAATCTGACGCAGAAAATGGAGTGAAAAGAAATGAGATTAAATTGGTTATTTTTCTGAACTAAATGAAATGAAGTGAAATAGGGTTTAACGTCCTACTTTTCTGCTCCTTTGGGCTAGCGAAGACGGCTTTACAACATACAGTGTGCTGTGAGGGCCTTTAACGTCCTACTTTTCTGCTCCTTTGGGCCATCAAAGACAGCTTTACAACATGCAGTGTGCTGTGAGGGAGTTTAACATCCTACTTTTCTGCTCCTTTGGGTCATCGAAGTGTGCTGTGAGGTAGATTTTGACAATACAGTGGCGCTATACTGCTTACTCATCTAACAACAGTTTAGCAGATTATGCTCAGTCACTTGCAATATTCTTGAATAATGCCCATTTAAATCTCTTATTATATCACTTTCTGTAAACAAACATTGTTTTTAGTAGCCAACGAATTCAAGTATCAGAGTTTTCAAACATTGTATTTAAGAAATGTGGAGTTTTGTAAAATTCAATAAACATACATTATGCAAGAGCTAAATCTGCTGATTGCAGGTCTTTCTTTAGGCCTGAAATCTTATCTAAATTATTAATTAGACATTAATTAGATATTAATTAACTTATCCAGACCATAATCAACTCTCGATGTCATCTCATGTGTCGGATTTTCATTGGATTTGAATCCGCTCTGCTGCTCAGCGCTCATTCATGATTAAATCCAAAAATTGATAACCGAGACTACGTTTTTTATCGTACCGACTTAAGTAATGATGATTGAGTCTAGGTCTAAATTTCAATCGCTTGTAATTTGGTTCATAGGTGAGCAATTTGACTGAAATTTTCAGCATATCACCTTTATATTATCTAGTTGTTAACTATTTTTATTAGAACTGGCAGCTCTTCATCTCATCTTCCATAATGTATCTTTAAGATTTTATGCAAGAAACATTTCTGAAAATATCTTGGAATAAACAGAGAAAAAACAAAAAATGTCAGATTTGTCTTAATACAGTGTTAAACTGGAAGTCGACATAGTTACTGGATAATTACTTGTGTAGAACCGAAGTCAGAAAGAGGTTAATGGTTGGCGTGACCAACAGAGAATTGCAGGAAAAAACTGGCATTGACATAGAAGGAAAATTTGATTGGATGTTCTGTCGTGAGATTAGATTTTTTAAGGAGATTAACATTTGCTGATCTGTCTCTTAGTCGGCCATTTTGTACAGTTGTTTCTTATGAATTAAAAAACTTTTTGTAATCGCAATAAAAATACACGGTCATTGGCTTCTTGATGTGTTGACGTTCTATATGTGAAGGAAAGGATACTGTACGATATTAAGTCAAATTAGAATTTTTATGGACTAAAGTTTTCACAAAGTCAGATAATAACTTTTACAGACTAAAGGTTCAAACAAAACTTGGTTATGTACGAAGAAATGACATGACATAACCTATATCCTTCTTGAAAACAAACATGGTGTTTAAGTAAATCAGGAAAAAAACCTATGGGGAAAAATCCTTTTTATTCCGAAAAATATGATATAACATTAAAATATATGCTTATTGACAATTTAATCCAAGAAAATGTTGTTACTACCCGTTATTATTGAATTTGTTACATAATACCAGTTATTTTCATACAAATATTCTATAATCACAGAACACGAACATTGATCAAATTTGTTATCCCCAATATACAGCCATTAAAAGGTAGTCTGTCTCGATGCTAAAGCCAGGCTTTTATGCATCGATGTATTGATAATCTCCTCGGCAGACGGTGCACTTGAATATTGATTTTAGATGTATGAAGACAGTGGTTGGATAATTACTGATTATATTCATCTTGTTAGTGTGTTGGTATGGCTCATTTAATTTGTTGCTCTTGTATTTCTGATGGAAAACTGCACAGTAAAATGTAGACAGCATCATTTTTGATGCCATAAACATTGGCGTGCACGTAAAAGATCCCTTGACAGTTGGAATTCGATATAAGAGTAGGCAGTAGTGCCGCTGTCCGGGCAAAATTACCTCATAGCACACTGTATTGCGTATGCCCGTGTTCTTTAGCCCAGTTCGGAGCAGAACAGTAGGATGTTAAACCCCATTTCATGAGTGGGGTTGAGTTGAGTTTGTGTATTGCTTTAGAGGCTAATGGGGAACATATCTATCCTTTAAATATCATGAAAATATGAGGTCAGATAGTGAACATGAAAAATCCTTTAGCAATGTATGGTTCTGTTTCTGTCCCCTTTTACACTTTTAATGGTGGAAAACTGCACAACAGTATACAGACAGAACAAATAATACAGCACAGCTTTCGGCAGTACATTTAAATACACATCCCTAGATACAATATATCAAGTGGGAACAACTGAAAAATAAACTGCAGGTTTAAGTGGTACCAGGTGTTTTTACTTTCTGCTTTTCGATTAATTCAATGAACTTATTTTAATACAGTTATAGCCAAGAGATATGATAA